CTTCTAATCATTGCCTCTGAAATCACCAGTGCTTAAAAAAACAACTATCAACTTTCTTAACTGTCAATTGCAAATAATCAAAAGATAACAGTGAGAACCATACTCCATCGACTGAAGCATTTCCTTTCTCTTAGTTATTCATGTTTTCTTGGTGAACCAAGAAGAAATACATAACTAGTATAACCACAAATCCCCATCCAATAACTCGTTCAAGTTCAATGAACTAGCCTAGAACTAGAAAGGAAAGCCCACGATTTTTCTAGATTCTGCACAATGCCTTCCAGATATGACATTCATAAGTTCAAAAGGGCATAATTTCAAATATTGCTTTTCACTTTTGAGCACATAAATGTCCAACGTACAGGCCGGAAAAATTAATACCAACGGTCACACGCCAATATTAAGATCAGAAAGAAATAACACTAGGAAAATTGTCTGATCAAACAATTTCCTGTACCATTTTGAGCATAAAAATACCATCTTGGGCATAAAGTCTAAGTCCGGCTTTTCAATGCGCAGATTAATGGTCAAAAACACATTTAAAGGCCTAAATCCATCTCTAAAACCGCAATTTTCAGATGTTCGATTCCTCGGCTAAACCCAATGTCATTCCCTAACCATCTTCATTCTTTTTTCTTCCTTTTCTTTTCTCGAAAACAATTCCACTGCTTCATTCATTCGAGCATTGTTTGTCGAAACAACAAAGCATGTAAATCTTGAAAAATCCAAACTATATCAAAAACTAATTCTTGAAATTAAAATAACAACAATTCATAAACCCCAATAACATATTGATCAATTTTTCAAGAAAGAGAAATAATTCGTAAGTCTGACTCAACTGAGCTCAGCGCTCAACCCATTTCCAGAAATCACAACTACTTTCAATTTCTTCAAAGATTTTTCAACTTTCCTTTTCCTGCGTTTTCCCAGCAGCCAAACAGAAGCTAAAGCATCAAACCCAAAAGATAAACAAAGCGACAGAAGCTGAGAGAATGATAGAGTAACCTCACCGTCTCCTTGGTCTGTGACGATCCAGCACAACCCATTGTACAGAGAGAGGGACAAAAATGGAAACCCACGAAATTGAAAGCTCCGAAAGAAGTAGAGGAGGAGAAGAAGAAGCAAGCGAGCAGCGTTGAGCTTCAAGCTTAGGTTCAGCTTCGTGAAGACGCAAAGTCAAAAGCGGAGCGACCCGGCCGAACCGACTCGATTCCGGCGAGAGAGCCTGCAGGTTTTCCGGTGAGAGATGGAGGGTTGTAATAGTAAAAGAAGGGCGCTTTATTAGATTTTTTTATTTTTTATATTTAATTAATCATTGCTCAATTATACACGAATGTCAGGTAACATCTTCTACTTTTTCTTTTATTTTTTTTTTTTATTTTTATTTTTTATTTTTCTACCTTTTGACGTATAGGACAGCTAGGTTCATCCTGTGTCGAAGACTGCATGAGGTCATCGGTTATTCTTGATTCCAACAACTTTAAAAGCTAATATATATTTGTTTTAAATATTATATTTCACCTCTATAAACACCTAAGGTAACTAAATTACAACCTCATCTTCTCACTTCTTCTATTTTTTTTTCTATCATATTTGTCTTCCTTTTCTTTATTCTTGTATGAAATACTTTAATTTTTAGGTTCCAATCTCGTTGATGGCAAATTCGATACCAATTAGGTTGCCTATTGTGTGACTTAATTAAACTTCCCCTCCCTTTAGTGTAAAAATATCGATGTACTAAAAAAAAAAAAAAAAAAAAAGCCTTACATCCTTGAACATTACTTTATAATATCCTACATCCACTCTTGACAAGTATCTACGAATAAAATTGGCATAAACTTTCGACAATATCTACTCCTGACATATGTTGACAAATATAGGCAGATGCCTATTAGATGATTGGCGAAATGGCCCAATGAATCTTTTTTTGTTTATATTATAATCTCATTATTTGAAAATCCTGGTTAAGCCACTAGCTTCGCCACTTGGGCTCCCATCTGATTTCTGCCTAGATGTCAAGGCATTTGATCCTTATCTGTCATCCGATTAGCAATTAGTGTGTTTTAAAAACTTATATGTAATATATTTACTATCATAGTAATGTTCTGATTAACATTATAATTTTTCAAATTACATGTATCATCAATATCATGTACAATTATTTAAATTACATTATTTAATCTAAACATCATACAATATCATACAAAAAAAAAATTTAATTACGAAACAATGAACTTATTTCATACACGTTGCTATTTTGTAAAAGGTGAAGGAGTGAGGTTGGTGAGAAATGAGTTGGATGTTAGTCACGTCTTCTTTTTTTCTCTCTTTTTGGAGTGGCCAAGTATGGCAACTAGCCATTAATCTTACTATACATTCTATACTTTTGGCTAAAATATTTAATTACACTTTACTATTTATTGTAATATTTATTCAAACAAATTTTATTTTAACTTTAAAGTGAAGATATAAAACGGTAGAATCTGTGCTTGGTACTATTCCGCTTATAACAAACTCGCAGTTTCTATTTTATTCTTATTTCAATAAAAATAAATGAATTTTAACGGTTTTTGAAATTTTAGACACTATTGTTAAAAATGCACTAGAAGAAGACTCGTTCACCACTTTGTGTTTCCTATTTTTTGCTTCGAAACCTATCTGTCTCAATGTGACTAGTAATAGGGAATGGTAGAAACCAATGGACTTTTACCCTTTTTAGAGTTGAAAATACCAAAAACAAAAAAAAAAAATCACTTTTCTATATTGGACTCGAAAAAAGAAAATGTCACGGCCTATATGTGTCATGTACTCCAATTCGTTTTGAATCCTTTGCTTGTATTTTCTATACTAGGATATGCTCCACACTTATCATCTTTATTTAAGACTGTCTAGTTTGGTTTGATTTGACTTGATCCACAATTACACTATTTTAGTGTAAAATGCAAACTAAAGTATGAAAGTATTCAAAATGATAAAATCTAGTCGAATTGAACAGTTCAGACAGTTTTCCGCCTACCTTTTTTTCGCCAATGGTAAAGCACGTTCATTAGAATGAAGTCCAAATGGACAAAAGGCAACTTACATAGTCATAGAATGAATCTGCATATAAAAAGAAAACGCCACATATATAAACAAAGCATAAATAATGATTATTTGCTACAGTAATTACAAAGCAGTATATAACTAGTTCTTCACCGCCCACCCTTACCCTTCCCATTTACAGTACGAAATTTGATATATCCCATTGTTAATTGGTTCAATAACATGGATTTTGGTGGTTGTTTCTTTTCAATAGCGACCATATGTCATATGCTTTTTTCATGTAAATATAATAATATATATTATTTTTTTCCGGGTACTTTTTTTTTTTCTGAAAATAAAATTAGAAGAGAAGGGATAATATTATATCCAAGTCTCTGTCCAAATCAAACCAGTTTCTTTTGGAAGATAGCCGACCTATATCCACCTACCTACTATAAATATGACCATGACGTACCAAAGCCGACAAGCAGAAGGCAATTTAACTATAAATTTCTAATTTTAGAAATACTTGCAAATTCCAAATTCTCTGATATTTCCAACAATATTAACTTGATTAGCAACTTTATAATTTGTTAAATTTTTGTATTTCGTTAATTTTTTTTAGCTAAAAATTTTGGAATTAATTCTTGTATAATCTATCTTGTTTTATTTTTACGAATATTTGAGGTAAAGAAATTAAAATTCCAAAAAGAAAAAATTGGTAGTGAAATATGAGAAAATTGAATTTTTTTATGGTTTAGTGAATAAATGGATGGTTATTTATTACTTTGGAGGAGTTTAGTATTGGATCTGATTTGAACTAATTAGAGCATCTCCAAAGGAGATGTCAAACTGCCACATGGGTATATAACAGTAAAAATTAGCAGCAGACTTTCTCCAATTGAGCCTTCAATTTCCCACGTGGCGCTGAGTCAATTGAAAACCTTCTGCTGTCAAATTTGACAGCGGCTGCCAAATCCATTTAATATTTTTTTAATAGACTTAATGGAAATATAATAAATGTGGTTGTGTATTTATCTCATTCCTTATTCACATGGATTTTCCCGAGAGTACCTTCCTTTGGCTGCTCCTTGACTACCAGAAGAACTTATTATTTAACATATCGGTTGGATTAAAAAAATTGTACAAAATGCCAAATTGCCACATAAGACATCAAATATTAATTTAATTTTTTAAATTTGACATCTCATTTGGAGAGACTCTTAATAATATTATTTTGACTATTGAATTTAAATTTGAATCGTTAATTTTTTTGTTTTTATTACCACTATAATTGATTAAATTGAATTTGAGCCGTTAGATTTAGAAATAGTTGTAGTTGGGCACGTCACACTAGACCAAAAACCAGAAGGCACGCCAGCCACTGGATCATAACAACCATTTAATCTAGACGGTAGAAAGTATGCCTTCTGTGCACTAACCAGCATGCAATCGTCCCAGTTGATGCTGCCGTGCCGACACGAGAGGCCGGCCTCAATCTGCTCTTCAATTGGCAAGTGAAATGTGGGTCCCCCAGCCCACTTGCGACCTTATCTATCTGGGGTGGGTAATAATCCCAAATTTCCACCCCCAAACTCGAAATCCCAAAATTCCAACCCCCAAACCCAAATTCCAAAATTCCCACCCCAAAAATCCTTTTGCCTTGGAGAGGTTCTGAGCCCACATTTTGGGCTTATTTTGTTTGAGACAGTCTAAGTTAGGCCAATCGACAATATATCTGCTTCATTGCATCCGAGTTCAAATTCTCCTACTTCGTAAATTAAAATAGTTTAAAAAATCGTCTTATGAAAAGTTACTAGCCCTATTACGTGAGAGAAATTCACCCACAATGTGAATGTAATTGTAGTGTCTCGTGGTGCTATTTCAAGCATTGTCATGCGTTTCATCTTTCTCACACGGTGGGACCACGATTGCATCCTCATTTTATGAAGGTCATTGTCCTACTATGCAAACAAAAGAAGAAACAAGAAAATCCATTTCTGCACGTCTCAGTTTCTCATTAACTTCCTCACAAAATGAAAGCAGTGTATGGTGCCTAGACTAAACAGTCCTATGTCAGATAATACTTGTAGAATCCTCACCCATCTGTAATTTTTCTTAACACATCCTGTTTACAAACTTGCAGCATAGAATCAGTTGCAGACTAAGCTCGAAACGAAATACAGGATACACATTCAAGATCAGGCAAAAACTGGCTGAAATTTGCAGGCCGGCAAAGGGTATTCACGGGGTCACAGTTTGATCAAAAGCGGCATGAACTATCAGTCCCATACCTGCTCCTCATGTAATTTTCAAACTTTGGATTGTCATAGCCCGCTGGCTTCATATCCACCGGTTTTGTTTCTGCCCCAACAGTTCCATAAACTACCTCTCCAGTCTTTTCTCGCTGGCGATCAGTCCCATACCTGCTCCTCATGTTGTAATTTTCGAACTTTGGATTGTCATAACCCACTGGCTTCATATCCACCGGTTTTGTTTCTGCCCCAACAGTTCCATAAACTACCTCTCCAGTCTTTTCTCGCTGGCGATCGGTCCCATACCTGCTCCTCACGTTGTAATTTTCGAACTTTGGATTGTCATAACCCGCTGGCTTCATATCCACCGGTTTTGTTTCTGCCCCAACAGCTCCATAAACTACCTCTCCAGTCTTTTCTCGCTGGCGATGCCTTGTTCTTTCTTTCTGGCTCTTAGACCTGCTATGAGAAGAAACCTCACCCGACCCATAGAACTCTGCAGAATCCTGTCGTTTTGAAGACCGGTGCTTGCTTGGCAAAGAGGGATCTTTGAAACTAGTTGACTTCATTTTTGGTGGCTTCATTTCTGAATACTTCTCACTTGCAATGGGAGTATGGGCCTGTCGAGTTTCAGATAGAGGAGCAGGAGCACTTTGTCTCTGAACTACTGGAGCCTCAGATTTGTCTTCAGGCATCCTAAGAGAATCTTTTAATGGTGTGAGGGCTTTCTGGGAGCCACCAGGCATAAAACGCGACGGGAGGAAGTGAACGAATATGCCAGCCAATGCTTCAAGTCCAAGTTTGGATAGATCACTGACGAGCTGTCCAAAAGAGGGCCATCCCGGTTCCTCTTTCATGCTTTCCACCAGTAGAGTGGATTTTTCACTGCTTGGATGTTCTTTCATTTCACTCTTTAAAGGTGGCTGCTGTACCAGTTATGCATTACATCAAGCGAAGAACACAACTTGCATAAAATATAATCTAACAAAAGCATGCACAAGCAGTAAAGAAAAAGAATAAGGGCAGAAATAAAATATTGACCAAATAACGTGTTTTACTTTAAATGCATTTTTTAGCTGAGATGGGATGAAAATGAATCAAATTTTGGGTAAAGTTCATGACTGGAACAAGGACGAGCATTTAATTTATGTTTCTGCATTAGTATATCATAGGAAGCATACCGTTCTTGATAAGAAAGAAGGTCCATATCCCTGCTGAAGCATGCATGTAGCATACCCTGCCAAGACAGCACCAACAACCATAAGGACATCTGCAAAAGACACACAAATGTCAGTCAGAGAAATGCTTCACAATCTTAAATAGAATTTGATGCCCCCATCATCATGAGGCATCATAAATACCATATATTTTAATGCAGCATATAACCGAGGTTATCCTGAGCTTATATTAAAAGGTAACCTTCCAGAAGGTCAAACATTAGTTTATTGTGAAACACAATATAATTGTCACAGGGCAAAAATCTGTAGCATTTAATTAACCGGAGACACTACATATATCTTGTGCAGAAGGTAGAATGTCAAACATAACCATACTCTTTATACTGGATAAAATATACAGTGGCGTCAATTAGGTTCTCCAATTAGTGCTTATTTCTTTCTACTGCATATGACATCTATGTCTGTTTCAAGTAAAAAAAAATGTACACTAAAATCACATCGGTGCCTAAAACATGATATAGTGAACATAATTTTGAATTTTCTAATGATAAGGAGACATGGAAATGAGAGTCAAGACCAGACTGTGAACGCATGGATTCCTACTCCACAGGCATATAATGATATTACGACAGGAATTCAAGAATCAGGAAAACAGCATAAAGGTGAATATAAGAACTGTAAGCCCTTATATTCTGGTTCTGCTATCTATTGCATTGCTTCCTACTGATGGGCTCTCGGTTGGATGCGAAGAACATGCTATGCCTAAGACTCATGACTTGAATCATTTTACCAATTAGATACTCATGATGTTAAATACCCAAGTATCCAACATACACCTAATCATATCTGAACTCACACACTATGACACTGGCCAACAATTATTTTGGGGTTTGACAGAAATTAACATTGACATTTAAAACAATTTTAACAAACAAATAGATGTATCCTGTGCATCACGAACGAAAACTGAATCATGCACCAACCTTCATAATATTAGTCCTAATTCCAGATTCATACTTGTACAAAATAGAATACATCAAATCTGTAATAATTAATAAGCCCTTTAACACTTCGATTATAACAGAAATACCTTCAATGCTAATTCTTCACGCAAGGTATTTTCTCATTCTTTTCATTTGATTTTGCATCCTTTAAATTTCTTTTCTGGTTCATTTCTCTTATTTTCTTTTATTCTCAAAACCAAGGCCTATTTGTGCGTGCGATTCTAGAACTTTCAGGACAAAACAGCAGATTGGTTATGGATTCTAATATTAACTCACACATAAATGTCAAATGACAAATGGCTGCTACTTCCGTGGTATTATATGTCCCCATTGATCAGTTAGTGGCCATTACTACATATTAGCTAATGGGACCAACTTATGGGAAATCAGCTTCCACAGATTCCGCTTCTTAATAGTAACTTTAAAGTTTGACCACAAAACCCTGCTAATACTTTGGATCATCTAAGGCATAAACCTTCAATTTGACATCTAGATTCAACACTCTCTCATATACAATAATAGATTTAATAAAACACAAAAGGCAACCCTTTGTCTGCAGAGCTAACTGATACAGATCATTTTGAATGTTCATATACAGTATGTGAAACTGTACTTGCAAAAACTAAAAGGAGAATCAACTATAACAACCTATGCAATAATACATATGTACATGAAGACCAGTGAGTATGCTTCCCTAGACACCTTGTATGGTCAAGCTAATATTACAGCCACAACATCTGTTTTAGAGTTTTCATACCATCAATTTCAAACTAAGCCTAATGAATGGACACTGAACGTAAACAGCATGCGATCAAACCTGTGGCAGAAATTGAACTGTACTGATAATCACAATCCTCCTGGTTGAGAGAGATCTGCCGGAGAGCAGCATTTCCTCTGTCAACAACTAGCAATGAACAAGTAGGTTGAACATATACGATATCAAAATCATTTGAGAACATTGCATCTTCACTGGGCCCATCCCTGTAGCCTGCAACATTTGATTTCCCACCCGCAATGGTTGTCACACCTGCAAACAATTTGCTTTAGAATTTCAGAAATTGAATCATACTCTTATCTGAGTTATCTCTATAAAGGGATTTGTAAAAATGGTTTTCAGATTTAATAAAATAAAAAAATGAAAAAAAGTTGCAAAATTTTGAAATTTTTAACAGTTTACACTCCCATGCACAAATTACGTTTCTATACTTATGTTTTGCTAATTCATCATAAATACATGCATGCATGCATACAGAAATTTGATAGTTTACTCACATCTTGTTGCCAGCTTTCATCTGTATAAGCTTCTAAATAACTATGAATATAACATGAATTACATGTACATACCAGCATCTCCAATCTTTCTTATGGCGTGATTCAAGGTATCAGCAACATACACATTCCCTTTATCATCCATGGTTACACCTTTGGGATGATTGAAACGAGCATCACTTGGCTTCCCATCAACATGTCCGGTGTAACCCTGAAATGAACCAGCAACCAATCTTCCCCTACTATCTGCAGCAATGATATGTTCAAAAAATGAAAATTGAAAATCAAGGAATGTGATTCCGGAAAAGATATAAATTCATATTACTCTACAACTCAGCGATGTTTATTATTGATACAGTTAATCCATACTACAAAACTACGAAAACCAGAAGAAGTAAAGAAAACAGATACAACAAGCAAGATTAAAGATCAAGCATTGTTGTGTTACGTTCAAATTCATCATTTTAATATCCCAAACTACAGGACCGTAGAATGTTGCACCATCTTGTTACTTTCTTTATAAAAAATTATTAGCATCGAATAATTGATATACAGAACTTTTATATGACAAAAAAGAGGAATACACAACCCTTATATGTTAAAAAATTTAAACAATAAAGTATAGTTGCATACATTGGGACAATGGTGGAGTAATCCGCATAATGTTGCTATTAACGGAGTCCACAACAAAGAGCTCCCCATCCTCTGAGATGCGGATTTTGTAAGGAATAACTCCGATATCATTTCCTTCCAAAACAGTCTCAACTAAGTACCCATCCTCAAACTGAAGAACATTCACATCTGGAATACAACAAAATGACAAACCATATAATGCTTGCAGATAAATTATCCTTGAATAAGAAAAACGTTCACCAAAACCGAACCAAAGAAACTTAAATTCACTTTAAGTTACCTGATTGTGGCGTTTTGGAGGATATTTCCCTGGTCCATTTGAGAAGAGAAGACAAGTGCCTTATCAATGGCCCTGAGCAAACACGATTTAATCCAAAACAATATATCAGTGAAGTAATGGTAAGACCGATTAAGTAAACAGATCACAGGAACCCAGTATGAAATCGTGTTTGCCAAATGAATGACAGAGAAAAAGGGTTATTTGGGAATATCAGAATAAACAGAACCCATCCAGTAGAATCAAGAAAAATCAAGAACTGGGTATCTAACTATATCTGCAAAGCAATATTCCAAAGTGGGTTTTTAATAATTTGATAAAAAAATTCGAGCAAAATAAGAGAAGCAAATGAAGAAACAAAGCAAACCCAGTTGCCAAACAGATCAAACATACAATCTAAATCATCAAGCAAAGGAAGAGGAAGATGGTGGCTGAAAGTTTTACCTGCAGGGGCAGCATGAGCTTGGAATCGGAGGGAGTAAGTGACAGTGAGTGTTAGGAGAGTGAGGAAGACAAGGGAATTTCTCATTGCACTGATTGAAGCAAAACCCAAAAGGCAATCGGTTGGCTTTGAATTTTCAAGTATTTACCGGAAAATCATGGCCTCTGAGGTGCAGAGAAAGCTGGGTTCTGGGGATTTGGTATCTGCGTAAGCAAGTACCAGCAGCTGGGGCTGGTTTTTGCTGTGTACTTTGGGAGTGGGAGGCTTGATTTGTGGAGCGTACTCGGTCTACTAACAGACGGTGCTTTTTTCTTTCACTTTCTCTTGACTTTTTAGGGTTTTTCTTTATAAATCGTATCTGAGATTAACCAAGTTCATCATTTTGATCTCTCACTTTTAAAATTAATTAATGTCATCCTTGACATTCACTACCATACATCAATAAGGTTCTTCCGTTTAGATTCCATCAAATATTCTGTTAGTTTGTACGTGAGATCCACAAATCCAATAAAATGGTGACACATGAATTATACAAAAGAAGGGTTTTTATCGCAAATGGTCCCTGACATTGATCAAACTACTCATTCTGATCCTTGAGTTTCAAAAATCAATACATTTAGTCTCTGATCTTCACTATCGCACATTAATAGTAAGGCTAGAAAAAATTCATGAAAATCCCAAATCAAACCGAAAAAATCCAGATCCCAATATTTCGATACGGGATTCAGTTTTGTCTTCCCAAATTTTCAATAATCCCATACCGAACCGAAAATTAATATTATATATATTTATATTTTTTTTAATTATAAGAGAATTATTTGAACCGTTCATTGTTTTGGATTTAATCTGTGTCGTTCATTTGTTTTTAGGGTTCTCCAAATGAGATCCGACTCATTTCAGTCATTTGTTTTTAGGGTTCTCCAAATGAGATCTGACTCATTTCAGTTCCATTGATTCCATCGAACTTGAAGGCTTGAAGCGCAGCCTCCCTCAGCCATCGAGCCCTCATCTGTCATCTCTTTGTGTCAAATTCCAGCCAGCCACTGGCCTACCATCACACCATACTATCGTCTCTGACTCTCCAGCCTTCCTCCACTACACAGCCATCGCTCTCTCTTGCAATCTCTCTCTCTCGGGATTCTCTTTGGTGCGATTTTCTCTCACAGACACTTAGAACTCTCGATCCAGCACCGAGTCTCACTCTCACCCCAAATTAGGTAATTAATTTAGTGTTTTGAAATCTAATTTCTGTCTTCCTTTTGAAATTTAATTTAGAGTTTGGACTTAATTTTGTTTGCGGAGTTGTGTTGTCCACGAAATTGTCCATGAAATTTCCAGGGTGAAAAGACTTCCTTCGAATATGTATAAATTTAGGGTTGTTTAGTGTCCATCTTTAATAACCCATAACATTAGGAAGCATGGATAAATTTGGTGTTGATTTTTTTTCCGATCATCAACACATCTTTTATTTGAAAAGTGAATGGCGACGTGATAACATTTTATTGGCTAAATGGATAAACAGCGTGAGGATTTTACGAATTCTCAAATCGTGTCCGTTTATCGTATATTGTGTGGTCTATTTCTGTCAGTACCGTTCATATTTAATTTGAAATAAAAGTATTTAAAATAATTTAAGGTCACAAGATGTACGATGAACAGACACAATGTGAGGATCCTGGGGATCATCCAATCATATCCATTAATCGTGTAATCAGTTTTCGTTAGGTACTATTTATATTCAATTTTAAATAAAAGAATTTACATTAATTTCTGACTTCACGATTTACGATGAGCAAATATATTTTAAAATTTTCCGTAATCCTCACGAAGAAGATCATGCGAGAATCCTCACTCATTCATGAATTTCCTCTTGGGTCCCACTTATAAAATGACATGGCGGGATCATAATTGTAACTTGACCAAACGGAACTAAACACTCGCAGCAGAGGATCCAGTCCTGTTTACTTCTTCGTCTTCACCTCTCCAACTCTGTAATTGAGTGCATCAACCATGGCAGCGAACGATATCGGATTGAAGTAAACCAGTTGTGGTCAAATGGGTGTGTACGATTTTAGCGATTCTAGCAGTACACTGTCTTGATTTTGCATAATCATTGAAGAACTGAAAGGGGTCAAATCGACTGGGAATTTGGTCATTTTCGATGGGGAAAAAAGATGGGTTTTCCGCAACGACAAGCGAAGATAGAAACTTGAGTTGAAAGAGTGAGATTCTGGAGGGGAGTTTTGGATTCAGGAGAGAATTCATTTGGGTTCGTGAAGAGGAAAAGGTGAGCATAATGATTTTGTCACAAATCATTTTGAATAAATGTGGGAACGTATGAAACTGCAGTAACCTAACGCTTGGTGGCCCCAAATATTTATTATTTAATTAAAATCTAGGTTTAATTATTGCAACAACTCAGCCGAGTTGGTCTAAGAGCACTCCCACCGTTGCATTTAGCTCGGGGGACCGGCTCCAGAACAAAGGCCCGAGGGCCGGTGGAAGGCGTCCAGCGTGACGCAGGCCGGGGGACGGGGGAGGCCCGAGGGCCAGGCCCGTGAGGGATTGCCAGCCCTTGAGCCCGAGGTGGGAGTGACGCAAGGCTGACGCCAGGATGGCGTCAACGTAATATTTTATTTTTTTTGTGTCAGGCGCGTGCACCCCACCCGCGCGTGGGGGCGCGTCCTGACACATTAATCAGAAAAAAAAAAGGTTTGTCTGTTACCGTTGGGAAGCCACGTGGCTTCCCACGGTACGTTAGATCGTAACGGTCACTTAATGTGGACCGTTAGATCTCAACGGTAAAAAAAATTCAAACTGTCAGATTTAATATCCACCGTTCGATCTGAGATCAACGGTGGATATTAAAATGCTTTAAAATTAAAAAATAAATGAAAAAATAGTTTTAAAAATCTGAAAAGTTACCGTTGTGACACGTGGCACAATCTGGAGCGTTGGAATTCAAATTTTTTTATATCCAACGGCAGAGATTAATTAATTGAATAAAAATTCAAAAAAAAAATGTAAAAAATTCAAAAAAATTCAAAAAAAAATCTGTAAAAAATTGTTTTTACTTTTCTATAAATACCTTCTCATTATCATCTACCTTCACAACAATTTCATATTTTCTCAACCACTTTCAATCACATTCCTTTCTTTGTCTCAAAGTTTGAATCCATTTTTTTTCAACAAAATGACCACTGGTGCAGGTACGAATTGGTCGCTTATTGAAGATGTTGCGTTGTGTACTAGCTGGGTTGAAGTTACTCATAGTTCGCTTACGGGTAATGAGATGCAGTTGCGAGAAATGTGGAGTCTTATTCATACCAATTATCTTGAGAAAATTGGTGGGAAAAGAACCAAAGAATCGATGTCCAGTCGTTGGAAATTACTTAGCCAATCGTTTAGTACGTGGAGAGACGCTTTGGCACAAGCTAGTAATAATATTCGAAGTGGGGAAAATTACTCGGATATGGTAACAAGATATTATTATTTATTGTTTGTATTCTTTATTTGTTACGTACAAAATTTATTATTTATTGTTACTTATTTGTTACATTATAATTATGTTGTTTGTTACATTATAATTATGTTATTGTTACTTATTTGTTACATTTATTTGTTACATTATAATTATGTTGTTTGTATTATTTATTTGTTACTTATTTTCATTAAAATTAATGTATATATATATATATATATTTGTTAATTATTTTCATTATTTACTAAACTTGAAGCCCTCTTATTTGCTTTGTTACTTATTTTCATTATCTTTGTTACTTATATATATATATATATATGTATATATTTGCTAGTTACTTATTTTCATTATAATTATTTATTTGTATTATTTATTTGTTACTTATTTTTATTGTGTAGGAACTTCAAGCACAAGCTTGGTATGCTGCCAAAACCAAAGGCAAAAATAAATCATTCAACCGGTGGGAATGTTGGAATATTGTCAAAGATTGTCCTAAATTTAGAGTTGTGCCAGTTGGTCCAGAAGTGCACATGAACAGCACCCCTCTACACTCTACACCCGATCATGTTCATGAAGATGATGCAGAAGAAGTGCCCGAAACGCCCCTCCCTGAACAAGCGTCGGGTTCGACCCGTTTTCCAATTAGGCCTCAAGGTAAGAAGGCTACAAAGAGAAAAGGGAGTGCTTCCAAGAACAATTATGCAAAGTTCATGGAAGAACTTACTCGCCAAGGTGAATTGACTTTGGCGAGAGAACTGGCGAAAGATGAGGCTGATAAGGCTGATAAGGCATCAAAAGCAGCAGCTGTTGAGAGAGAATTTTATGCTAATGAGAGAGAAAGAGAGCTACTTAGGCAAGAAAGGGAACATGTTAGAGAAGAAAGACGAGCTCAACAAGATCGTGAGATTATGAACATGTCTTTAGAAGGGAAGTCTCCAAATTCTAAATTTTTTTGGAAGTCAGAGAAAGCGGACGTGGTGCGAAGGAGGCGTGCAAGAGAAACAATAGCAAGCCAAGGTGGTTCTAGCACCGCAAGAGAAGATCATCCTAGCAGCACAAATTGGTTAAGTGATGATGAATAGAGTACTTTTTGTAATCGGAGCCCATAATTTTCCAATCACTTTGGGTTGTAATTTATTATTTATGTTGTTTCCATGTTCATGAATATTTATTCAAATTAATTTGGTAAGTTATTTATATTAAGAATTAATTTGGTAAGTTATTTATATTAAGAATTAATTTGGTAAGTTATTTAATTTGGTAAGTTATTTATATTAAGAATTAATTTGGTAAGTTATTTAATTTGGTAAGTTATTTATATTAAGAATTAATTTGGTAAATTATTTAATTTGGTAAGTTATTTATGTTGTTAAAAGTCCATTAAAAAAACATAGATTACATATACTAAGAATTACATAAACATAAACATAAAAAAATTACATAAACATACTAAGAATTACATATACTAAGAATTACATAAACATACCAAATAATAAAACACACCAAATAAAATAACATAAACATACCAAATAAAATAACATAAACATAAACACACTAAAATGAACTTAATTATCCTCAGCTTGTTTCAATGCCCACTGGTGCTCTATCAAGTCAATTTGTCGGGCATTGTGCATGTCTGGCATTTGAAATGCAGTATATCGTTGAATGAGCCTTTCATTGTAACGTCCATCCCTTTGTAATGGCTCATGTTGCACGGGGTCATCGGTGGCGTCATGAGCACAATATATACGTGTTCTTGAATTGTTCATCGGGTCTGGCTCATATTCATCAACAGCTTCATAATCGTACTCATCTTCCACAATCATGTTG